ATAAAATAATTCGAAGTGGTCTGTATTCTGTCGAAACTGCCAGACGCGGATCGCGATTTCGATCTTTTTGGATCTCATCAGCGCGTCGCAGGCAGCTCCGACAGAACACAGACCAACTTTTACCTGCTGTCTTAACACCTTTGTTTTCATAAAATTACTAAGATTTATAACAACAGGCATTTTATATTTTTCTGTAATGTTTTCAGTTATTCGCATATTATTTTCTGATATTTTGACAGTTTTATTCCTTAATATTTTCAATTATTAAAAGTGGGCGTGATATGTATCGTTTAATATCGCTTTGTTCCAGTTGTTTCCATTCTTATCGCTCTTATCATCTACCCTGTATGTTTCGCGAGAGAGTTAAATTTAGGTGAGTGCATTCAGTTGTGCATTCTTTTTGAAAATTTTGAAATTAAATGTTTTGTTTTTTTTTTTGTATTGAAGGTAACCGTACGATATGGGAATTCGGCTGGGCGTATGGGGTCGGATGGGGGGCAGCAATATTTCTTTTCGGCGGTGTTGTTCTTTTAATGTGCGACAAAGAAAACGAACAAATTTACTACAAGGAGCGAAAGATAGTACACGACAATGATTCGAGAGCCTAGTGGCCACAAAGTCTGCCCGACGTTGTTCTCTAAAAATCGTAAAATGTGTTCCGCGTGATTGCATGAATGGACGTTTGAATGTGCACCATATTAGTGTTACTTGTAAATATATTGCACGATTTAGTTGCCTACAAAATCTACAGTTTTGCCTTGGGGTATACCATTTTCTTTAGTTTCATTAAATTTTTTTCCGAATTAGGAATTAAAATAAATATGATATATTTTTTTGGGGACATTCTTGTGAATCACTTTCTATATTTAATTACATTTTTTCTTGTGCAAATGACTAGTTACGTTTTAAAGGCACTTTGGTGTTTAAAAAGACTGACGACTACAAGGCATAAAATTGCGTAAAAAGGCAATTAAATCAGGCAAATTTCTTAATTTATTTCGTTTTGCTTGCCTGGTATTCCCGCCAGTGAGCTGTTTTGTGCTCGTTACCATTTTAATAACGGTCAATTTTATGGCACCCCTGCAATATTTGTTAACAGTATAAAAGATTGCCATTGGCGAAGGTGTAATTAGTACATCACTTAAAGTATGACAGGTAAGATAACGAATATTGACAGGGTTGCCATTAGTTGATTGTTCATTGGATGTTTGCATAGAACGACTGAGAGACAACGCGGGCAGGCTTGTTGTGAGTAGTGCAAATACTATGTTACACCATATATTAATCATAATAAATCTATACATTCATGCTATGGACATTTGACGAACTGCAGCTATGAGGCAAAAATAGGTCGTACAATTATTAATTAGATATGTCGATAAAGAATCGTGAATGTCGGTATGTGTGATGGATGTAAAATATATATACAGGGCAAGAAAAAAATTCGTTGTAATTGTAATTGCTTCGTTTTGATTTTTCCACCAATTTTTGTATTGGAATTGTACATTAATATTATTTCACTGTAATGCATGCGACACGTATTATATTTCTTTTTGCTCTGTATAAAATCATTGCGAAGTGTTTTAAAAGAATAATAACATGTGTTTGGTGAAAAACTGAAATGAGATCAACAAAAATTCTAGCTATTCTTTTTAGATTTAGGACACTGTTTTTTTCGTTCTGTTAATATCCATGCCTTTTCTAGATTTATAAACATGATTAATTTGAAGGTCTTTGCAAAAGATAGTTTCATTATTCTCGTCATTCCTTAATTATGAGCACAACACTTGTTGTTACACTTTTATTTGTACATGCAGTGTATATTGTCGTACGTTCAATAAAGTACATAACAATAATAACGAAAAATCGGTGATATTTTGCAAAATACTTCTCAACTACCTAGAAATCTAGAAAAGTCAAATAAAAAAATTGATGAAAACGTTAAGTAAGGTAACTCTGTGCTAAATTTAAAAAGGGTAGCTGAAAGCTTATTAATTTTTCAGCAGATTTCTGAGGAATTTTCCTTACGTTGTAAACCACTGTAATATTTAAAAACACTTCGTACATTGTAAATAGCCTTAGCTTAGGACTGTATAAAATTATAATATAAAAAGTAATATTATAGCAAGACGCGATAAAAATTAATGAATTCTATTTACATTATGTACAAACTAATAAGAATTTAATAAGAATACTCGATTGCTAATTACAAGTGCAAATGGATAAAAATTTACTTTTCTCGTAACAAAGACTGTTAAAAAAAAAACCGAGGGAGCTTCATTATCAAAAGCACAGTAGCGGACCCTCAGAATGTGATTCGTAATTTTAATTGTAAGCAATGAGAACGTTTTTCATTAATTTGGTGATTTAATGTTTCCACTTATTTTATGGAATTGACCTGTACTTGATGTTCCTTAACATACTTTCTTTAATGTAGCTTTGTTACATCCTCATATTTTTTTTAGAGTAAAAGAAAAACTATCAACATGCTTGCATATCTGTATACCTATTAATTTTGTAATAACTGTTTAATTATTGGTTGATACGCGCAAATTTCAGTAGTTTACTCTCACACCTCTAAGGCAGTCATTACGTTTTAAATGCTGAATAATGTGAAATGCATCTAAAATATTAGAGATTACTCTCTTTTCTCTACTCGCTCCTTGACTTAGATTTTTATATGCATAAATGAGAGTACCTTTACAAATTTCTTACTCACGTTTTTATGAACTTTAAATGAAGTGGCTACTTTAAAACTGTGAGACTAATCACTCAATTTTATGTTTTTACAATATACTCTATGTATATTTAATTACTTGTAGTGAGTACCATGTTGTTGTGAGAAAGGATATTCCAAATTGTAGATGTAGGTTTTTGAGAAGTTATTCAATCAATTTTTTGCTTTGAAATAACAATAACAAACATATCCAAATATTACCATGCATAATACCCTACACCTATTTACGATAAATTCATAACGGTAAACGATTAATGTGGTATAACATTTGCTAAAAATACATATCTGATTAGTTTGTAGATACAAATTGTTGTTCTGTCATCTGTTTTAGTGAACACAAAATTGATAATAGTTAAGAAAGACGTATACTTTCTTGTAATGTTGCTATTTTTTTTTTATTATTTTTTTGTAATATGTGTATTTTTGTTGGTAGAAAAATATCTTCGGTAAAGGACTGTTGATGATTAAGAGTATGACAATTGGGTTTACAATGAATTCATTAAGTTTGCTAAGAGGTTTTTATTGTTATTTATGCTTATTGTAAGAATTCATAAAGTTTAGGATCACTCCAATAGTTAAAAGCAATTATTTTGGTAGTCAAACTTCGCATTTTGGACATTTGGATGAAGTACGTCGTCTTAGTCGAATTATTTATTGGATTGATCTTTAATGTTATAAATTATTAAGATACGTATAAGGAACAATAACAAAAAGCATTTCAGCAAAGCATTGCTATGGGAGTTACATTCATACTCTTATTGACCTTAGTCTTTTAAGAGCAACATAAATGAAGTACTTTGTTGTCTTTTGTAAAGTCTATACAAAAGGAGTCCAATCTCTGTATAAAAATGGACGGTTTTCAGGCTAGCCTGGTTTTCACGTTATGACATGAAAATTGGACTCATCGCATAAAGACTTCATCATTTAGTGTAATAGTATCCATGTTATGTAATTATTTCTCTAATTTATGATTTGTGAGCAGCAATTTTTGAATTTATTCTTAAAATTTAAGAATGGTAAGTGTATATTAAGCTGGACCAAACCTATTTGGTACTTTCTTCCAATTTTTCGCTTTTCTATTTCGCCCTTACACAAATAAGAAATGTTTGTTTTTGTTGTAATATTTTATGAAATGGAATATCAAACGTGTATTAATGATTGTAAATTACTTTTTTGCTTGGACAAAATGAAAATAAAATAATTATTTAATGTACTCTCATTATCTTGGTATATTAATGATCAACTTCCAGCTGAATGAACAAAGTAAAAGTAATATTCAAAACGTTGTGTTGTTAAAAAAATAAAAAAGATTTTTAGCATTATAAAAGGGACTACTTTATTATGTAAAATGTTATATTTAATTTATATGTAATAAGTGAAAGAGTTCAATAAAATTAAAAAAATAGGGAAGACAGTAAATACTGATTTTGTCAGTCAAAAGTGGTTTTGACTGTTCATGAGTTTTGAGATGAGTATAACTTCATATTCCAACTATTAATTTTATGAACCTAAAATGAATTGCATTTTATTACTTAATCCTGGTCTTAATGGGTATTATGTAGCATAGCTAGATAATGTGATTAATCATCATTTTGTCCAAAATGGTATATATACATAATGGCTAGATATGAATAATAATATCTACAATAATCAGTTTGGCTGGAACATATGTAAACAATGTGTTTTTAAAAAAAGTCTCGTAAATTCTGCTATTTATTTTTGTGTTTTTAAGAAACATATATATTGCATATCAAAAGGTAAAAAGTTGTTTGTCTTCGTGGTAATCTCTAATGTTTTTTTGTAGTCACGTGATTCGGTCACCTTGTGTATCTCACTCGAGAAATGTGCTTGTGTGTGTTTTAACGTAGTAAAGATAGGCCTTTCAAATAGAACGTGGTATTCGTTTCAGAAGAATCGACTAAAACGTGAATTTAAAAATTAGTTTACAACCAAATGATGTAATGTGCGGTTATTTTTTAAAACGCATTTTTTGTTAACAATTCACTACTAAATATCCGGACATATAGGTAATTTAATAATTACATATAATTTGTTTGAAAATCAACCAGTAATAACACCTTATTTCTTTTATACTAGGTGTATATTTATTCGTATCGGTTGTTTAATGTTGTTTAAATATCTTTGTAGTTGAAAAACTTCACGTCAGTTACATTTTATTTTTGACTAAAGAAACACTAACTTTCCATAGTGCTAACAAGTACATGTATTAAACTCGAATTTATTTTATTTTTAAAAGTAAATTAATCAACGTACCTTATTCCAGATTTACACTTATTTGCCATTTAATAAAAAAAAAATAAGTGCATCTATTACAACACACCGTATGTGGCTGGGCTTTAATTGTAGCAGTTCTCGTGTTATTCCAGAGTGAAGCTTTTAATTTTCTATTCCCTGAACACAAAAGAAGGTAAGTGATAAATTTTTAACTTATTCATTATAAACAAAAAGCGTAAATAGGTGTTAATAAATTTTAAGCATTTATTTCTATTGCTTCTGTATTTATATATATTCAGTATACACATAATAGGAGTTGCGGATAGTGCATTGCATTTTTATTACTCATTACTTTTGTAATACGTAAATAAAATCCATTACTACCTATTACTTTTTTATAGAATGTATTATTCAGTAGTAGGTACATTTTTCCATTATATTTAAAAATGGATTAATGGTTACTATGAATTCTTTATATTGGTCATTACAAAGGTAAAGGTTAATATATGTTACTTATATAATTTGTAGGGGTTCTTAGTCATTATCTTAAAATTTTGCTATTACGTTTTGATAATCGTCCAATGAAAAAATGCTTTTCATTTGCTAATTACTTGAGTGTTGTCGTATTTCTTTAATTTTGGCGATCGTTTGACATATATTTTTTAATATTTCTGCATCTTCAGATATTTTTATACCTTTTATGTTAGTTCTGTAGATTTGCAGATTAACTTACTTAAACTTAAATGTATAAGGGTAGTTTACAAGCATCCCTATACAACCCCTCCAACTCACATCAACAATGGTGTAGGTAAAGTTACACATACACACTACGCAATTTTATTAATCTATGTATATTTAATTACTTGTAGTGAGTACCATGTTGTTGTGAGAAAGGATATTCCAAATTGTAGATGTAGGTTTTTGAGAAGTTATTCAATCAATTTTTTGCTTTGAAATAACAATAACAAACATATCCAAATATTACCATGCATAATACCCTACACCTATTTACGATAAATTCATAACGGTAAACGATTAATGTGGTATAACATTTGCTAAAAATACATATCTGATTAGTTTGTAGATACAAATTGTTGTTCTGTCATCTGTTTTAGTGAACACAAAATTGATAATANATTCCTTTTCAATTGTTGTTGCATTGTTACTGATGTCGGCCATCATTCTTTTCTAATTGTTGCTGTTGTCGGCCATCATTCTTTTTTAATTGTTGTTGCATTGTCACTGATGTGCCATTGTTTTTTAATAGATAATTAATTCGCTTTCAAACACACTTAAATTAAACATACTATTTCACTTATTCACAAATTAAACAACAGCAACGTTATTTTAACTCGCACTCAAAAGCTATTTACTTAACTAATTTCTACATACATTTTCACATCTTTTAAGAAGTTTAGAAAAAGTGTTTAACTGGTCGAAATTATACAAAAGCGTTTCCATTTTTGAATTTTTTATCTGTTTTCAATCGCTTTTGAAAAACTGTTAAAACTACGAAAAAGAGTATAAAACTGTAATGAAGTGGTTAAGATACAAGAAGGTACTTTATAATCGTGTACTGTTATAATTGCTTATATTTTAAACATCCTCTACCTTTTTATACATGAATATTTCACTAATTATTTAGCAATGAATTGAAATATTATTGATTAATCTAAAAATTTTGTTCGTGCTTTACTAGAGCGATTTTGAAAGTTCTTTCATTCCTAGGAAAGTATGTTATTCCCGATACATAGGACATTTTAAATATTAAATTAAAAATGGGTTTTTCATCGCATTGTCAGTTTTAGTCGAGCGTAATGACCATCTCTTTCTCTCCGAATACTCACTCTCTCTTTACCTGAATCCTTGAACAGTATTACAACGCTGATTAGCCATGAATTAAAAGATGTTTTAAAAATTAAACTATGGTTTTTGGACAAATTAATTTGTACAATTTAATGTTATAAAAAAGGTGTATATTTTGTTATTTACTTATGCAGGGTAGTCCATTAAGCGCGCCTTGCTCTTTGGCCGTCTTGCCGTTGAAATTGGAAGAAAATGTTTGTAATAAAAAATGTTTCTGGTCAAATGTTCCATCTGCAGAAAATAATTTCAGAGATGGCGGACCAGAAGTATACATACATACATGCGGTTGTCGTTGTTGAAAAGAACACGAAACGCACTTGGCTTTCCATTGAAAAATTTCTTTCAAAGCACATTAAATCATTGCACTAGTAATGTTCAAATTTTAAATGTTTCAATAACTCATTTTTTTAAAATGTTCATTTTCACATCGTTGGATGCAAAATTAAACTCTCTTTCAATTTTATTATGGCTTATTAGGGTGTACGCTTGACGATTTTCAAAATAATTGCGATTTGTTAATTATTCTGTAATGTGCACAGAAAACGGATAGATCCTAGGCGGTGTGGGTCTATAGCCGTAAGCGCATTATCTCATGTTTATTCGAATTATTGATAAAATTACTTAAACCCAATACAACACAAACAATTAATGTCATAAAAGATTGCCGTGACTCCACGAGCAGAATTTTCTTAAATTGGTTTATTGCCGAAGTGAATAAAACTCCGATATAAATAATATTGGGAACAAACTTTATTTGTAATGAATTGTTAAATAAGAAAACGAATGGTTTACAATAACGGCACATCCATTCGTTTTCTCTGCACATCACAGAATAATTAACAAATCGCAATTATTTTGAAAACCGCCAAGCGTAGACCCTAATAAGCCTTAATAAATTGAAACAGAGTTTAATTTTGCATCCGACGATGTCAAAATGAACATAGCTTCCCATTTAAAATAAGGCAGCTGATGTATAAGTACTTCCGGTATATCGGGCGTCCGCTAACTCTGAAATTAAATTTCTGCAGATGGATGATTTGACCAGGGAAATTTTTTATTGGAAACATTTTTTTGCAATTTCAAGGGCAAGGCGCGCTTAATGGACTACCCGGTAGAATAAGATCCTAGAGCCAGAAGAAATTACTTAATTTCTGAGTAACAAAATGGGCGGAAGAGTGTAGTAACTGTGGTAGTAAGTTTCCCCAAGCAACAATTAAAATATCACTATGAATATAAAAGCGAGCGCGATAATTAGATAGTTTTATAACACACCGGCATTTAAGATCTGTCGGGTGGATATTTGGGGCCTATAATTGGTCTGGCTGCTTACAAAAAGTATTAAGATAGGTCCCTAAGTAACATCATTAAAGACAGTACAACTGTAGGGATGGATGTACAAGGGCAAAAGATTAGTATGCTTAGATTTGCAGATGATATAGCAGTATTAGCATCTAGCAAGAAGGACTTAGAGATAGCTTTAAATAAAATGGAAGCGATATTGACAAATCAGTACTGTATGAAAATAAATAAAAGTAAAACTAAAATACTGGTATGCAAGGGAAGAAAAAGTAGGGAAAGAGCGAATATAAAGATAGGAGACGAAAAATTAGAAAAAGTCGCTGATTTTAGATACCTAGGAAATCAGATAAATGAGGATGGAAGGAGTAGTAGGGATATAAAGCAAAGGATAGCGCAGGGTCGTGTCGCCTTTAATAAAAAGAAGTCACTTCTATGCTCGCGAACGGTTAATTTAGAAATTCGAAAAAGGTTGTTAAAGGTGTATGTTTGGAGCACGGCGTTGTACGGGTGCGAAACATGGACAGTGAGCGCGGCGGAAAAGAAAAGGTTAGAAGCGTTCGAAATGTGGTGTTATAGGCGGATGATGAGGATATCGTGGGTAGAAAAGTTTAGAAATGATGAGGTATTGGAAAGAATAGGAGAACAGAGGACTCTATGGAAGTCAATAAAAAATAGGCGTGATAGGTTGGTAGGACACCTTCTCAGGTATGAAGGTCTAATCAGGCAGAAACAGGAATTAAGAGGGGTAGAGGTAGACCTAGATTAGATTACTGTTCGTAAATAGTTAAGGATGTGGGCTGTTCTAGATTTAGGGAAATG